ATTGACGTGACTCCGTGAGGTCAAGCCCTGGGTCAGCTTTTGCCTGTATCCCTAGCGTTAGTGCTCACCGAGCTTGGCTGAGGGAAGAGTAAAGGAGTGAGGTCGGATGGAGGCACCCTGACATTTGCAGACCAGACTTGCAGAGTGAAGGTGGTTGGCACAGGTATTACTAACTTGTTTATTTATCCCACAAATATTCCTTGTGGAGGAGAGAGATGAATTACCTGCAGTCTTTTCCCCGCAGGTCGCTAAGAGCACAGTATGGGAGTGAAGGGCCCAGGGGACTTGGCCCCTAAGATAAGGGAGAGAGTGGTCAGAGCCCTGAGAATTGGAGCTGGGGCCTGGCTGGGGCAGGAAGGAGGGCGTCCTGGAGGAGGAGGCATGTGTGTGTGCAGGTGTGTCTGTCTGGAAACGAGGCGCATGTCAATGAGGAAGGGTTTCTATACCTTATAGGCGTGTTGGGTCACCTGTGGCCGACAGCTGGACTCCAGCGCATCACCTTCAAACACTCGCAAATGCAAACTCTCACCTTTGCTCCCCCCTAGTTTCTGCCAAAAGACAAGGCTTGGGAGCAGAGTTTAGAAAGCATGGCCTGACCTAATGGGACAAGGGCTTAAGGCCCTGGGACTGAGACATGTAGGGGGCAGTTGTTTCCCCAGCCCTCTCCGGAGTGTCCCTGCGGCTCCTGCAGCAAGGCTCAGGTTCCGTCTCTGGCCCCCTCCCCACAGTCTCCTGGCGTCTCTTCCCTCATCCCTCTCTGCCTTCCCTTCCTGTCTGTGGGCCTTCGTGCTGGCAGTCTCCTGTGTGTGGCTCCCTCCGCCCACCCTCTGCCCTGGGACCCCTCATCCTTTACTTGCAGTTCAAGCATGGCTCCCCCTTGGGGACGTCCCTGACTCTGTCCTACGTGTGCTCACACCCCTCCCCCGCTGTACATGGCTGTATGTATGTATTTCTACATGCTTTTTTCTCCAGAGCATCAATCACAGTTTGGAACCCTATGTTCATCTGTGGGATCACTTGACTAAAGTGGGCATCTTCTTTGGATTGTAAAGAGAGGCCTGTCTTAGTCATCACTGTATCTCCTGTTTTGTTTCATTTTATTTTTAAAAATATTAAAATAAATAGGCCAGGCACGGTGGCTCACGCCTATAACCCCTGCACTCTGGGAGGCTAGGTGCGAGGATCGCTTGAGGCTAGGAGTTCAAGACCAGCCTGGGCAACATGGGGAGACCCTGTCTCTACAAAAAATAAAAAAGTAGCATGGTGGTGAGCACCTGCAGTCCCAGCAACTTGGGAGGCTGAGTTGGAGGATTGATTGAGCTGGGGAGTTTGAGGTTGCATGATGCCACTGCCCTCCAGCCTGGGTGGCAGACCATGACCCTGTCTCAAAAATAAATAAATAAATAACATAAAAGATAAAAAAATAAGTAAATAAAAATATACATTTATTAAAAAATATTATCTGGTATAGAGTACCAGATATCAATATTTGTTAAATATTGTTATCAATATTTGTTAAATCAATGAGTGATGATTAGGAGAGTTCCCAAGCCTTCTTTAGGAAGGGACAGACTTTAATGCCTTCCTCCCCTGTAAAGAAAGTAAGTGGAGGTGCCGGTGGGGGTGAGAGCAGCAAGAGCACCCATGGGTCGGGGTTGGGGTTGGGGTCAGGTCAGGTGAATGCCGGGAGAGGCAGGCTGTTCCATGCTTGCCATCCTTCCCAAGGCAGCCTGGGTGTTCTTACAGGCTCAGCTGACAGGTGCTATAGCTGATTTTCAGAAAGCCAGAGCAGAACGTAGCTAGTTGTCTTCTAGAAGACTCTGTCGAGCATGGCCAGGTCCCAGTGGGGCAGCCTGTGCCCAGTATGTGTGGAGTTCTCAAAGGGAGGGTCTCCAAGGACACCTGGTGCATACACTTGAGTCGGCCTGGTGCCCGAGCCTTTACTCTGTGCCAGGCCCTTCTCGGTGACCAGACAGTGACCATGCCCAAGGAGGCCCTCAGTGGAGGTGAAGTTCTGCCCTTCCTGGGCTCTGAGCTGTGGAAAAGGCCCAGCCTGTGAGTCCCGTGGGAGAGGGAGCAGGCCCAAGGACACCTGGGGACTCAGGCCTGGCTGAGGAGGCCTCCCTCAAGGGACAGAGCTGGGCACGGCTGATGGGGCAGCCTGAGGGCAGGAAGGAGTCGGGCCCTGCCCAGAGGGGGCTGAGTGAGGCTTCCCTGGGCGTCCTGAGGAACTGGCTGACAGGAAGGAGGCTTCATGGAGTTTGGTGCTGCGCTGGCAGAAGGGGGGAGCTGGGGAGTATAATGGAAGTTGGTGGGCAGGAGAAGTCTCTTAAAAGTAGGTGTGACTTTTCTGACAAGGCGGAACTTGGTGGGAGCACAGGGGTCCAAGGTCAAACTTTGGCAGGAGTGACGGGGACCAGGATGACCAGGCAGTGCAATAGCTGAGTAGGAACAGGCTGAGCCGTCTTCTGTGTGCGTGCGTGTGTGTGTGTGTGTGTGTGTGTGTGTGTGTGTATACGTGTGCACTTACACATGTGCTTAGGTGCACAGAACGCTTGAGAATAGAGTCGTTTGGTAGATGCTGCTGATGGAAGAACACTGCTGGGCAGTAGACTAGGCTGTGAGTCCCCTCGGCTGCCAGTCTTGGTGACCTTGTGGGAATGGCCCCATGGGGAAGGGCAGTGATGGAAGAAGGGTCTCTAAGGATGACATCCTGTGGACAGGAGCAGGCACCTGTGCTGTGGAGGTCAGTGTCCCAGGCTGCCAGAGGAGGGACCTCAGCATCAGGCTGGGGACATCTGGTCAGGGACCAGCTTCTGCCTTGGCCCAACATGGGGGTGTCTGGTCATTCAAGCTGTGACCCAACCTTAGTGTCCTCTTGGGTCAAAATCAATGTGGGGTCAGTTTTCTCAGAGGGCTCAGGAGCAGCCTCCAAAAGTCCTTCCCGTAGAGGATGCTGGGTCCCCTGAGCCTGTCGGCCTCCACGGGGGCTCTGAGATGCCAACACTCACATGAACGCCTAAAGCTGGTGTCTTTTTTTTTTTTGAGACAGAGTCTCGCTTTGTTGCCCTGGCTAGAGTGAGTGCCGTGGCGTCAGCCTAGCTCACAGCAACCTCACACTCCTGAGCTCAAGCAATCCTCCTTCCTCAGCCTCCCGGGTAGCTGGGACTACAGGCATGCACCACCATGCCCGGCTAGTTTTTCTATATATATTAGTTGGCCAATTAATTTCTTTCTATTTATAGTAGAGACGGGGTCTCGCTCTTGCTCAGGCTGGTTTCGAACTCCTGACCTCCAGCAATCCGCCCGCCTCGGCCTCCCAGAGTGCTGGGATTACAGCCATGAGCCACCGGCGCCCGGCCTAAAGCTGGTGTCTTTGTTCAGACATCAGTGCCTGCATTGCACTTGTCCCCAGGTAGGACAGTTGAGGAAGCACTGACTTCTTGGTTGTCTCAGTGACACAATACCCCACTGCTCATGCTCCTCAGTCTGGCCTCATTCCTCCCATGGGTGGGGGCTTGACGTGATACATGATGGGTGAAGTCTAGTCTAGGACAGCAGCATCCTGGCGGGCTTGGGGGTCAGACTGGGCCTCCCGTAGGGGTGCCTTTCGGCGTGAGAGCTGACCCTCGCTGGTTTCCCTGGGGCTTCCCAGCAGCAAGGGCAGACGCCACCTCTGGCCTGGGTTCCAGTGTGGTGCTGGGAACCTGCCCTTCATGCTTGCTTTCACTTTGAGCAGTTCAAGCCCAAGACTCAAAAGATATTTCATCCTATTATTTTTTTTTATTGATAATTCATAATATTTTCTTTGAAAGGTAAGCATCATCACCAGAGACTTACAATGTGAATAGCTAACAGTATAAAACACATAGGGGACTGAATCTTGTATTTTCTTCCATTTATGTTTTTGAATAGGAAAGACATTTAAACTTCTGAAACCAAACCAAAGAGGCCCACTATGAAAAGGCTCCCCCTCACCTCCTGCCCCTCAGCTCCTACCTCCCCCAATGGGTAACCACTGTAAATATTTCTCATGTATCTCACACATATATATATGGCATATAAAGTCTTATTTTCTTCCTCTTTTACAGAAAAAGTTGTATATTACATATGCTGTGCTGTACTTTGTTTTTTTATTTTTCATATAACAATGCATCTTGACGATCGTATCAACTCACAGAGGGGATCCTCATTCGTTTTAGCTACTGCGAGGTATTCCATTATGCAAGCATGCCGTAGCTCATGTAACCAGTCCCCCTCAAATAAGCTCTTGGGTCGTTTCCAGTCTTTTCCTACAAGAACTTTGTACCTATGTCACTTCCCATATGTGTAAGTCTAGCTGTAAAATAAATTCCCAGAAGTGCGATCACTGTATCAAAGGCGATGTGCATTTGTGATTTTGATAGAGTTTGTCAAATTGTCTAGCACAGGTGTGTGACCACTTCCACCAGAGTTGTATGAAAGTGTCTGTTTTCCTACCACCTTCCTAGCACAGTGTTTTATTGGCTGGTCACATGATGTGGTGGTAAAGGTCCAGGGTAAGGACATCAGCTCTGGGAAAAACTGTACCTTTAAGGAGGGTCTTCAGCATAGGAAGGGCGATAACCAGTCACCTGGTGACTAAACTGCTGAGTCTGCCTGAGCTCAAATACTCAGGCAAATAATTTAATCTCTTTAGGTCTCAATCTTCTCATCTGCAAAATGGGGAAATAATAATGTACATTGAGGGTCCCCGTGAGGATTGGATGAGATGATGCCTGTCAAAAGGGCTTTGCACGGTGCCTGGCATGTGGCTATGGGCGGCTGGCTCTGCACTCACCAGCAGGTGACCCTGGGCAAGGCAGCCCCTTACCTACACCCCTGCCTGTTTCCTCTTTTGTCAGGGAGGGAGCTGGGCCAGGGGTCTCTCAGGCCCTCTTCCCAGTCTCAGGGTCTGACCTGCCTTTCTTCAGCAACGTGTGTAACCTCCACTCACCCTTCCTCTCTCGTGCTCATCAAAGGTATTCAGGAGTCTCCGGTGCCGAACGGTCACTCACTTCCGGGCAGAGATTTCCTCCGGAAGCAGATGCGGGGAGACCTGTTCACGCAGCAGCAGCTGGAGGTGCTGGACCGCGTGTTTGAGAGGCAGCACTACTCGGACATCTTCACCACCACGGAGCCCATCAAGCCCGAGCAGGTACGCCCCACGACTCATGCCCAACACAGCCGCCACTGCCACGCGGGCCGGGGCCACTCTCCTGAAGGCAGAGGCATCTGGCAGGGTGTGGGTGAGGGCACCTGGGTTCTGCTCAGAGTGGGCTTTTCGTTGTTCTTGATCAAACTTGGCCAGTCACAACATCCCATGAACTCAGGAGGACTTGTTTAGGGCTCTGGTGGCTTCTTGCCCTGGTGTCCCTGTCTCTCTGGCCAGCCAGGGGGTGGGTGACTTGCCTGGCTGCTCTGCTGTTGCTGAATGGTGTCCTTTCCCAGGGCTCTTTGGACATGGGGGTAAAATGATCATCTGGGCTACTTGAGGTGGTCTCGGGTCACTCTCCTGTCAGTCAGGGTGGTGGTGGCAATATGCAGCCACCATGTGGCCTGGGGCCTCGCTGGCCGTGAGCGCTGTTAAGATGGTACTTGTGCACACCTCTCTTGGGTCAGCCCTCTTGTCAGGCTGCCCTGTCATGTTTTCAGTGACTGAATCCAAGAGTCTGCAGATAAAGAAATGTCTCATTGGACAAACTCCCCCCTGAGTTATTTGCAAGGGAGGGTAGAAAGCAGTGGGACCACCCCTGGCTGAGCAGCCGGCTTGGGCCACCCTGGGGCAGAGGAGTAGTCGCTGCCTGTGGCCATAGAGATGGGACCAGAAAGGCTCCGCCAGTGAGAGGCTTTTGGGGCCTGAACAAGGTCCCTAAAGTACCAGATTCGATTGAGAAGACTATGTCCCGATGCTCCGTCTGTGCCAGGCCCTTGACTGGGTACCTTGCACGCACACACTTCTTCTGGCCTGCCAAGCACTCCCATGTGCTGGGCGAGTCAGAGAGACCCTATGAACAGTGACTTTCCCCAGGACTTTCCTAGCTGGTGCTGGTGGCAGGACTGGCCTTGCTGAGCTTCCTGTAAATGTTAATTAGTTGATGCTTCTGGAGTTTTTCCCCAGAGCCATTGAAAACAGTGGAGGCCTCATGCACAAGTTCCCACCCAGAGGTGGGGTGCTGGAGGGAACTGTGGGTGCTGAGGAGTGAACAAGGCCTCTAGGGCCACCCTGTTATGACAGTCTGGCTATCTCTGAGCAGTTCCTGTGAGGGCTCTTACAGATCATCTAGCCACTTTGTTTTCACATGGGGAAACTGAGGCCAAGAGAGGCAAAGCAACTTGCTAAGGCTACCCAGCAAGTCATATTTTCACTTAAACATCCATTAGTATCTACTTTGTGCAAGGCACAGAGCCAGGCACTAGGGGTACATCAGTGAACCAGACAGGCTTGGACCTGCTCTCAGGGAGCCTATAGACTGTGGAAGAGTCACAGTAAATAAGAGTTACCCAAGGGGTCATGGCTTCCAGGTGTGCTTGGTGCCGAGGAGGAGATGTCGGAGGTTCCTTGAGAGCCTAAGGCAGAAGCTGAGTGGCCTCCTGGGGGAAATGCATTTATGCTGAGCCCTGAAGGCCTTGGGCAGAACAAGGAGAGGGGAATTGGGTTGGAGGGGCTTTGCAGAGGAAACAGCAAGTGCAAAGGCCCTGAGGTGAGAGGGTGTGTGGCAGGAACGAGGAATGGAAAGAGAGCCAGTGTGGCTGGGGTTCTGGGAATCGGGTTGGGGATGATATTGGGGAGATGGGCCTGGTCTTACAGACTAGGGTGAGGATTTTGGTCTTCCTCCTATTAAGTCGAGTGAAGCCTCTGCCAGGAAGGATGTGGTCCTATGTGCTGGACAGAGCTGATCCCATATACTCTAGACCCTGGGCTTCAGGAAGAAGAGTCTGTTTCCATCACAAACAGCTTCTCCCTGCTGCGTAGAGCCCTTCTGAGAGATGGTGGAAGCCACGTTTTACCTGACACACGAAGAGCAAGAGAGAGTACTCAATCAGCATGAGGCCCACCTCTCCCTCCAGAATCTGGGAGAAAATTTATCTTCTAACAACAGCCAACACATAATTTTAGGGCTAGCAAGGACTATGGAGGTAAGCTCTCAAGTCTCTTGTTTTTTAGAGGCCCAGAGAGAGGCAAGGGCTTGTCTGAGCAAGTGCGTGGTAAAGAGTGAGGCGCAGGCCTCTGCACGCAGCCTGGCCTCCACGGCACAAGCCCCTGGCGAGTCCGTTAGGCCCTTATTTCCTTAAGGCAGACCCTCAGGGTTAGACGTCCTGTGTGTGTCCCGTGATTCTCACCGAGACTCAGAATCTCAGCCGTAGTTCATTCAGCTTCGACTGCCCGGAAACGCTGGCCAGAGACGTCAGGCTTCAGCCCTGGGAGGAGTGCAGAGGGCGCCGTGTACTCACTCACTCACGCTCAGATGCGCACACGCTCAGTTTCCAACGTACTTCCTGCCCACGGGCCATGAGCCTGGAACAGCGCCTAGAACACACTCATCAGCCCTGCCCAGTCTCGCCGGGCAGTACGCGTGGACTCAGAGCCCGCAGGACAAGGGGGAAGGCTCAGGGGGTGCTGATGAGCTGGAACCAGAGGGGCGATGTCTTGCTGGCGGCATCAGGGACATGGTGTTGGGCGGGGTTGTGAAGGACAGACCACAAACCTGATGGGCTCACGTAGAGATGGGGGTCCAAAGGGGAGGAGGCGGGGACCACAAACTCTGTGAGGGCTCGGTTTCTAGCGGTGCCCTTCAGAGGGCTGCGGGCACGCCTGCAGGCCCATGTCTGAGTGTGCGGGCTCGGAGGCGGGGCCTGCAGGCCAAGCTCCAGCAGGATAATGACTGACTCAGTGTTTTCTGGCTAATCTGCTTCACCTCCCCGTAATGCGCCTTAATGAGGAGAGATGGGAGGTGAGGCCGCGGGGCTGCCCTGCACGCACACAGGCACTGGACTATGAATGACATACCCTCGCGCCCGATTCCCAATCACTGTGGACAAATGATGCCCGAGCAAGGGGCCGCAGGCTGGGCAGGGATGCGCGTCAAGGGTACAGGTTCCTTGAGGCCCTCGTGCTCTCGCCCTGCGAGGTGAATGTTCTGCAGGCCTGGCCCTGTGAGCCACATGGCAGTGGGGACAGGGATGGGGCCCGAGGTGCTGGCTGCGGAGCCTGACTACTTCTTTCTTTCTGAGCAGATCAAGCTGTCTGGGTCTGCATCCCTGTGGCCTCGTGGCCTCCCTGCGGGCCTTGCTGTCATTTTCATTGAGCAAGCTGGTGGGGAAGGACATCTCCTGGCCTTGGAGTCAGGGGAGCTTGATTTGTGTCCTGGCACTGTCCTGTTGAGCAAGTCACTTTTTTTTTTTGGACTTAAGTTTCCATATCTGCAGTAGTAGGAATCATGATTTTGCTGACAAAGATGACAACGATAGTAACAATGGCAACTTAACAATGTGATCTTTCTTGTCTAGGCGTGACAGTACATAGTTTTCAAAGAGCTTTCACATCCCTTTTCTCATTGGGCCTTCAACTTAATGCCTGTTAATCAGGACGGGAAGGAGTTGTGAGCCCCATTTGACAGATTGGAATTTTTTTTCCAGATTGTTCACCCCATTTTCAGATCCAGGGAGTTTCTGGGATTGTTGAGAGCTGGAGTCTGACCTCAGGATCTTCAGTCTTCATTTTGTGCAAGATAGTTCCATAAATCTCCATGTCCTGGACGATTCTAGGAGCCGGGTTTCTGTCTGGCTGGTTTTCAGGACTGACCTTTTGCAGCCAGAGTCTGCCTATCCTTCCAGAACTCTCAGAATCTTGCTACAGGCTTAGAGCACTCACATCCTCATGCTGTCCTGGGAAGAACATCCCCTATAGGGCCAGGCTGGGGTCCCGGCCGTTGCTGCCATGGGCTTAGAGCCTGCCCCTACCTTGCTGCTTTTCTTGCTGAGACCTTCCCTGGGCTGCTGGGCCCAGGTGTCTGGCTTGTATACAGAAACTTAGTAAACCCTTTGCCCTGGGTAGGAGGGGTTAATGTAGACCCACTCCTGGGGCAATGAAACACTTCCTTTTCAGAATGGTTATTGAAAAAGCAATTCTGTTTTTCCTACATGTGGAGTGAGTAAAAATCACCTTGGAGGAGAAGGAAAAAAACCCCACACAACTGCTGGTGTGCGCGCATGTGTTTCCAGCGGTGGAATCTGTTTCAGTAAAACTCACATTGACGCTGTCGTGGGCCAGCGCTCCTGGCGGGAGCGGGTCCCTCCTCCGGCCGCCGCAGGAAGGCCGCTTGCAGCCTGCCGTATTTACTCTCGGCAGACTATTAACCAACACCAGGCTATTAATCTGGCTTTTGAGCCTTCACTAAAGCCCATAAAAGCTCACAGTTGTCAAATGGAGTTCATTTTAATTTCCTTTCAATCACAGTAAATTATTCAGGTGATAAATCAGCTGGAGCAGCCTCCTGGCTGTAATAGAAACCCTAATTCCTGGCTAATTATCCAGCCCATTGCTGCCAGCAGATCAATACGGGCGCAAAATGGAACGGGCCAGGCCCTCCCTCCCATCGGGCCAGAGACAGAGAGACAGCTGGGGAAGGGGACGTGCTGCTGACCTCCTAGGAAGTTCAAAGGTCACAGGGGGTTAAACCGGGAGAAGGTCTGTCCCTTGTCTAACAGAGAAAGCTACAAGCAATGCCTCCTGCTCTCATAAGCCATGTTGCTCTGGGAATGGTGGCATTTCTCCAGGCTGGTGGGCTGAGCAAAATCCTAGCATCACCCACCCCTATAGGCATCCTGCTCCTGGGAAGGGGCTGGGCATGGTGGAGCCTGGTCATCACGGGTGGCCTGAACCCTGACCATGAGTCAGAAAAAGGGCTGGCTACTGTGGGGAGAAACTAGACAGTGTGGACATGCCTGTTTCCTTCAGGGAGCTCATTTTCTCATTTCGGAGGGGAAGGAGAAGAGGGGGTGGGGGGACAGGTGTGCCAGGCTGAGAGACAAGAAGGCCTCCTGGAGGAGGTGCCTTGAGGGAGGGGCAGAATCCAGACGTGTGGAGATGGTCGGGGGTCGGCTGGAGAGAGAGCATCGTAGGCAGAAGGAACAGCATGGGCACAGGTCTGGGCA